ACACACACACACACACACACACACACACACACACACACATTTATATATTTAAATACACAATATATGTATAATTACAGACAAGCAACAACTCCAGTGCTAATTTTCTGAAGAAAATACCCATTTATTTCCAAAACAATTTTGTGATTTTCTTTTCTACCTTTTTTTTGTTGTTGTTGTTCAGCACCTCGCATCATCACCTTATTAGAAACAGTGGATGTCCTACTGGATCACAATGCAACTTTCATCTGTGAGGTTGAGTCACAACCGTCAGCCGATATCATCTGGACCAAAAATAACCACCCAATCATGTAAGTTTACTAAACTTTTTCATAACTTTTGTCYAGTGCGGTAATAAATAAACAGTATTATGGTGGAGCCATGCCCTTTGTCTCTCAGATMTATCAGATTATAAATTTACACATGAGCAGCACAAGTAATGGCTAGTTATGATAAAATTYGATTGAAAATAAACTTTAGTAAGATTGCCACGAGAACATTTGAAAAATAAAAGCTCACAGTATTTAATTACTACCAGAGGTTTGAAAACATGGACATAGACTCATTCTGGAGCTTATATCGTACAGTAGTTTCTGATTTGGGCCATCAAAATGTTAGTAATTGAAAACCTTCGGTTTGATTATCCCTATTTGATTATGTTCCAGGTACTATGACACTCGGTATCTTACCAGAGAGCAGGGCCAGATGCTGATTATCCCTCAAGTGAAAGAGACAGATAATGGAGAGTACTGCTGTATCGCCAGTAACGGTGTTGGAGAGCCTGCAAAGAGTTGTGGAGCTCTTCAGCTGAAGATGAGTAAGTTTGTTTTATTTCATCTTTTATTTGTTTACCAAAATGCTTCATATATTTTAATGTGACAGATTAAAACATAATTTTAAACCACCATATTGTGTCTATTGTGTATTTCTCTCAGAACCTCAGATCAAGCGGCATCCGACAAACGTTACCCTTCTGGTAGAGTCTAAGGCCGTGCTGCCGTGCGTTACCCTCGGCTACCCCAAACCAGACATCACCTGGCTCAAAGATGATGAGCTTATCAAGGTGTGTGCTTACAGAAAACCAACATGTCCAATAAAAACATTCAGACATAAATTTTACTTTGAAKACAAATGTCTTACAGGTCAACGATCGTGTTACCATTCTTGACTAYGGGGCGTTGAAAATCCACAACATACAGAAAGAAGATGCAGGGCAGTACCGCTGCGTGGCCAGGAACAGCTTCGGTTTAGCCTTTTCAAAGCCCGTCATCATTGAGATACAGGGTATTTATTTAGCAACAGTAAACTCACCCTTTAAGATATTTTCCATTCTGAAACCTTATTTTCACACAAATATACCATTGTGTTTTGTGTGTGTGTTTGCCCAGCTCCAGCACGAATCCTTCGGGTTCCGAAAGAGAAGAGAGCAGAGTATGGCAGTCAGATCTCCTTGGACTGTAATGCCACAGGAAATCCAATCCCCACCATCACCTGGCTGGAAAATGGGAACACCGTAAGCTTCTGAGCTCATTGATGGTGCATGGTGTGCGTGCACGCATTCAAACCAAACAAGATGTTGCTTTTCCAGTTCTGAGAGCGGTATAGATAGCAGTGTGTAACATGTCAGTTTAAATCTCACTTAGGTGATCCACATGGGGTGTAATGTGATGACTGTGAAAATCAMATTTCAGATTTTTTTCCCTCATTCTCACATAAAACTACTCTGTGATGCCTCCCATGCTCTGAATCAGGCTGTCCTCGCTTTTTCTGAAGACAATTGTGATAATTTAAAACAGCTTTTCTTCCTATTGCAGTGACACCTTCTATCTAATGGGATTAGATGAGAATCTTCCCCACAATATTGCATTTCTTTTGCTAACACAGGATGACATGTGCGACTTAAAATCACCTTTAGAAGAAGGATAAGGACAAGGAGTGAAGTTCCTGATAGAACAACAGTTCATTCCAGTTTTCTGTAATGACTTTAAAGGAAATGACCCTTTCATCCATTGATGTATCTGTTGGTGTTGTAGTACTTGAGGTCTTTTTTTTTCTTTTCAAAAAAAAAAAAGAAAAAAGTACTTGAGGTCTTAAGCTCGGTCTCAAGACCACTTTTTGATGGTCTTGGTCTTGTCTCGGACTCAACAGAATTTGTACGCGGTCTTGTTTCGGTCTTGGACATTCTGCACTCTGAATTTTATTTCAAGACCAGTGAAGACCATAGCTGACGAAATATCACTAAATAGACAGATTATTGTCCAATTAAATGTTAACATTCTTGCTTTCATTGGATTTAAAGCATAGCTACTGATTCAAATCCAAACCTGACTCGTTGCTATTTATGTATTTTTGTTACCGGCTGTCACCCATACCCACCTCCACTTGAGTCGCATGCAGAACTCCAGGAGAGTGATCGGTGGTTCTCTGGGAGCAGTAGAAGATGTCTGCAAAATGTTAAGTAAAACAATTTGGCTACACAAACAATATTGTTGTAAAACAACAACAACCAGGATTTTTGGCAGCGCAATGGATCAGTGGTCAGCACCCATGCCTCACAGCAAGAAGGTCCTGTTCGATCCCTGGTTTGGACCTGGGGTCTTTCTGTGCAGAGTTTGCATGTTCTTCTCGTGCTTGCATGGGTTTTCTCCAGAAACTCTGGTGTACCCCACCCCTAAAACATGTACAATAAGTTGTCTTCAGGCCCAGGCCATCCTTGGAAAAGAGATCAGCGATTTCAGTGGGATTTGCCTGGTAAATAAAATAAAAATAAAGTGGACAGCAACTTGTATGATTCTCTTTCAGATACGGTGGAGACAACGTTAAACTTTTATCGTTGCTAACTTTAACAATAAATTCTTTCCTCTGGCCTCACACAAAGATTTTGTCAAAATTAGCTCTATACATTAAGTTAGCTAAATGTGTACAGGCGGTCTTGTCTTGGTCTTGAGACCCTGCGGTTTTGGTCTTGACTTGGTCTCAGTTAGATGATCTTGACTACAGTACTAGTATCTGTCTACACACAGAAGAAGTAAATATACTTTCAGATCATAAAACCCCAAGAAATTATCACTGTGATGTGTGAAGACTGAAGAGACTAAACTAATCATTTTGCATTAAATATCATTTTCGGGTTTTATGAGAATGTCTTTTATTTGTATTAGAGATGAGTAGGATATTTTTTGTCAAAATAAAATCAATCATAGTCAATACACTTTGTACAAATAAAGTTAAATGATAATTAGATTTGAAAACAATCTAAAACACACTTCCTGGCCAAAATAAAAATAAAAATAAAAATGAAAATAAAAGTGGCCACAATAAAAGGTCAAAAACTCTAATTTTCCGTTGGACTGCCTTTAGCTTTGATTATTGTATGCATTCACAGTGGCATTGTTTGGATATGCTTCTGCAACATCACAAGATTTACTTCCATCCAGTGTTGATTAATTTTTCACCAAGATCTTTTATTGATGAAGAGTCTGACCGCTCTGTGGAGCCAATCCATGTGAGAAAATGATGTCTCGTGCTCCCCGAACTCTTTCACAATTCGAGCCCGATGAATCCCGGCATTGTCATCTTGGAATATGGCCGTGCCATCAGAGAAGAAACAATCCATTGATGGAATAACCTGGCGATTCAGTATATTCAGGTAGTCAGCTGACCTCATTCTTTGAGCACAAACTGTTGCTGAACCTAGACCTGACCACCTGCAGCAACCCCACATCATAGCACTTAAATCCAGGTGGCAACTTTTTTTTTTGGCCAGGCAGTGTATATATTTTCATTAAGGATAATCATAAAAAAGGCGGCAGACAGACTATTTTTCAAAATGGAATCTAATGTGGTGGACTTACGCCATACAGTGTTTGTAGCTTGTTTAGTTACGGTGCTAGCTACAAAGTGATTACAATCCCATAATGCCTGTAAATGCTATTTGTATTCTTGCGCGGTGATTAAAATGACTGTAAGGAGCTGATTTTCTGGCAGCTTGTTAAAGTCATTAATTCAAGCATGGCAGGAGTGGGCATGTCCTAAAAACAGTCCGTGTGAAATGCAGCTTCAAATTTAGACATTAGTCACATGTCGGCACCTAGACGGACTCACTCACACACACGTTACAGAAACTCACATATATCACTGGTAAATATATATATAAGCTTGAATGCTGGAACTAAAAACAACAACCTAAATATTTTTGGGGCACACATTTACATTGTGCGAATGTCAGAGCATGTTCAAGTCATTCCAGGGATTATCATTTTTCATGTCACCTAAATTTAAGTGTTTATATAACTATTAGACACGCATGCTTTTATAGTTATTAATAATAAGTCTTAATACGTAGGCAGTRTGAAGAAAGTGGAACTTAAAATTCGCTTTGAAGGGGCACTTTTGCTAATACAAACACCAACTGTGTTTAAAAATGTGTTTTTCTTCTCAATTTCATTCGTTATTACAGCATTTCTGGTTGTTGCTGCTAAAACCAAGAACTAACTAACTAACTAACTAACTAACTAACTAACCTTACTTACCTTACTTACTTACCTTACTTACTTACCTTACTTACTTACCTTACTTACT